TTTAACCCTCAGGCTTCACTTTAACCACTCATGGTTTCATAACATAACCCAGGACTGGTTTGTAATAAACGCCTCAGGCAGAAAATGTTCTTTTTTGGGGGAAAATGACTCGTTTTGTGTTGTTTGATTTCCATTCATTACAGCACTGAGTGTTCAAACTAGTACTTGACTGATTAAAATACTCAAACTGATTAAAATTTTTATAGTTTTGAGCAGAACTGATGTTGTTAACATGAAAAAATACTAAGTAAAAAAATAGCAACATTTTTTATAGCTTACCAGCGGACGTTTTTGTCCTTTAAGGACTCGAGAGTACGGTGGCTTTTTAAGTGTTCCCTTGCTCTAGTCTTAAAATTCCAAATTGAAATACAAAATTTGTGGAGTTTTTAAATTTTTTTTGACTAAATTTTGTACCTTATGCATAAACACTGCTAAAACGGCATCCAAACGAAAGGAGAAAAACTGCCTAAATGGACATGTGTTCCTAATGAAGCCTGGGGGTTAAATCTCTGAGTTAGTTTCACTTTTACTCAAGACAAACCCTCTTCTTCAGCTCAAAAAAATATCTCACTTAAAGCAGATCAACAGCTGTCCCTGTAGTTTAGATGTTCTTTAATCATTCAACTCATTTACAGTGGGGCAAAAAAGTATTTAGTCAGCCACCGATTGTGCAAGTTCTCCCACTTAAAATGATGACAGAGGTCAGTAATTTACATCATAGGTACACTTCAACTGTGAGAGACAGAATGTGAAAAAAAAATCCATGAATTCACATGGTAGGATTTTTAAAGAATTTATTTGTAAATCAGGGTGGAAAATAAGTATTTGGTCACTTCAAACAAGGAAAATCTCTGGCTCTCACAGACCTGTAACGTCTTCTTTAAGAAGCTTTTCTGTCCTCCACTCGTTACCTGTATTAATGGCACCTGTTTGAACTCATTATCTGTATAAAAGACACCTGTCCACAGCCTCAAACAGTCAGACTCCAAACTCCACTATGGCCAAGACCAAAGAGCTTTCGAAGGACACCAGGAAAAGAATTGTAGACCTGCACCAGACTGGGAAGAGTGAATCTACAATAGGCAAGCAGCTTGGTGTGAAAAAGTCAACTGTGGGAGCAATTATCAGAAAATGGAAGACATACAAGACCACTGATAATCTCCCTCGATCTGGGGCTCCACGCAAGATCTCATCCCGTGGGGTCAAAATGATCATGAGAACGGTGAGCAAGAATCCCAGAACCACACGGGGGGACCTGGTGAATGACCTGCAGAGAGCTGGGACCACAGTAACAAAGGTCACCCTCAGTAACACACTACAACGGCAGGGAATCAAATCCTGCAGTGCCAGACATGTTCCGCTGCTGAAGCCAGTGCATGTCCAGGCCCGTCTGAAGTTTGCCAGAGAGCACATGACCACCATCTTGGGAAACTCCTCCCAGCCACTGTGGAGACCATGGACAGCTCCTTCAGAGGCAGACTGAGACATCCCAGATGTAAAACAGAAGGGTGCTATAGGTCATTCATCCCCTCCGCAGTAAGAGTGTGGTACTCCTCAGCTTCTGTGCTGCTGTAACAAGTGAATTTCCCCACTGTGAGTTTAATAAAGTCTATTCTATTCTATTCTGACGTGGACCAGAAACATCCAGCCACCCTCTGGAGGGCGGATTGAGAAATAGAAAACCTGTTAGATGCCTGATAATGAGCTACATTTATCATCTGATGGTCACAAACATCCGTTACTATCCTGTAACTGTTTATAAGCCAGTCTTCCTCCATTAAAGGCATCAAACCGCTTAAATATAGAGCTGAAACCACTTGAGTACAGTGCTTGGTACCGTTTTTGTTATAAATGTCTAAATGTTTAATGAGATCACATTCTGACTCCAGGCTGCTAGCCTGGCAAGCCAGACTGAATAAATATAAGCGATAGTTTGGGCTGGTTCACTAGGCTAGCAGGCAGCTGCACACATATGTGTTAGCGCCATTATAAATACGTCTATTTTATATCTAGTGTAAAGGCGTCTTCATGAGGACAAAACAAGAAGCTCTTTTTAGCTTTTAGACTCCTCTCCTGGAAAACGGGATCATTTTAGAAATGAAAAAACTGATTTAATGACACAGACCAGCCTCTAGTCGCCTCATGCACTTGTTAATCAGAGCCGTGAGTCTGGTGTTTGCTAATATGGGAGGAAACGTCCTTCTGCTGCTGTCGGATCAGCATCAGGACCCTGCTTGATTCTGACACCTAACAGTGTTTACAGAGCGGAGACAGGACAAACGTCTGGGGCTGTCAAATGCTTCCTGCAGCAAACATTTGATCAAGCTAACCAGCTCTCACACACACCGACGGAGCTCATCGATGGCGCCAGCTGAAAGATAAACCTGATTGATTTAAAGTGTTTAATAAGCACTAATAAGATCCACAGCACCGGTTTAAGAAAACAAGCAGATCCATCTCCAGCTGCACAGGAAGCCACTGAACCAGAAGCAGACTGCTGATGTGCAGAGAGGCCGATAGAGGAGGAGCTATGGTTGGTGAAAAAAGGCTCAAGCTGATCAGGAAGAAATTCGAAATTCCTGGCCTCGATTAGAAAAGTTAGGACTTTTTTTTTACATAAAATGTTAAAAATGAAAGTTTGAGACTTTTATTTTGAAAGGAGACCTATTTGAAAGGCGAATCCATGTTATGCTCAGCATTAAACTGAAGACTCCGAGCTGTTTAAAGACCATGGGAGACGTTCTTAGTAACATTTATTTACACGTTTGCATGTTATGTTCAGAGGGAAAAATACATCCCTAATTATTGATGTTTATACTTAAAGGGACATTATGGAAGTTCGACAGCCACAACATGTATAGAAATAATAAATTCATTTTGGAACAATTTTTCAAGCAAGGGAAGGGAATGATCTGAGCATGCAGGAGGACTGACCCATCTTAAACCTTTGTCGGCTGTGCTGAAGAGAAAGGTACAGAACCAAATTATTTCATTAATTAGCTGCATGTTCTGCTGTCCCCCGGGCCACCCACACACACACACACCCACACACACACACACACACACACACACACACACACACACACACACACACACACACACACACACACACAGGACTGTCTCAGCTGTTATTTTCGTTAAGGAGTGTGCACGTACAGCATGCGCGCCTCGTGCACGACCCTACTATTGAAGCTGCTGTTACGCTTTTGGCCTGAGGGGGCGATCGCGAGCATAAAAATTCAAAAGTCCGTAAAGTCCCTTTAAAAAAAGGTAGAGCGGATTTTCAAAATAAAAGCAATAGCATAGTACCCTGAGCACCGCAATATGTTCAGATTTCACTTAAGTTGTCCAATTTAATAGTTTGAAATAATAATTACAGAATTGTAAAATTTGATCAGAAACGTGTTTTAAGCACAATTTTTATAGCTTACCTTTTAGATTTCGTAAATCCCAAAATATCCTGAGATCACATTTTCAGGAAACTACAGTTCCCAGCTTCCACCAGCAGGTGGCAGAGTAGGGAAATTCAGTGATGAATGAAACTTGAGTATAAATCATGACCAAAATCCCAGCTGTCCTGAAATTTTAAACACTTTAGAGCATTTAGACTTTATTTTGCATCCATTCTGAAATAAAAACAAAGCGCGTTCTCGTTTTTTCTACTTTATTACCATGTTCCACAGATATGAGTACATTACAAGCATGGCTGTTAGTCGCTGCTGGCTAGGACACAATCAGTACGACAGAGCGGACGTTACTGCATTAATGGATGGCATCGTCCCTCGTGTGCAAACGCGGGAGAAGAGGATGAAAACATGATAGAGGAGGAAGCTTCCTTACATCGTTGTGCAGCAGCTATTTCTCATGAACAGAGACATCAGTATCAGTTAAACATCAGCATCACTGCAGAATTAAATGTAAACTTTATTATAAACGGAACTGAAGTTAAAACGCTGGAGACAAACTGAAACGTGCTGAAAGGTCTGAATGTTTTCTCCAAAATCACCACTTCTTTAAAAAAATGTGCTTTCTGTAAACGTTGGGTGGTCCGAAGCCTTCAGCGCTCAGTGGCGTTAAAACCTGCTCGTGTTAGCATCAAGTCACTTTGAAAACAAAACACTCTAAATGTGGTTTCCTGTTGATCCAGGCAGCAGTTAAGGGCTAGCATGTGCAACCGGGAACATTTCATATCCGACTGCGTTTTTATCTCAGGAGGTTGTGCGTCGAGGGACTGGTGACATCACACACTGTCAAACACACCGCCTGCTGCTGCGAGTCTGTATTAATCGTTTCAGTGGAATAATTAATAAATGCAGGAAAATTAAGAGGTGACCTCCCCGTTACGGTGCGGTGTAATCCCATTTACAGCCTAATCTGTGGCTGGCTGAGGAAACGGGGGGCGGAGCTTCTTCTCCATGACCGTGGCTGTAAAAGGATGCCTGTGGGGGGCTTTAAAGGCCCAGACCGGCAGCTGCACAGATGTTTCAGATAAAAGAACCAAAGTAAACCTACGTGTTATTACTGATACAGTAACAGGACAGCTGTCCTCAGTGCGCTGCTCATCTGGATGACACCCAGCTACGGCGGGTAGCATCCCATAATGTGACCCAGTAACGTCTGTGCTTCCTCTTCTAGGTTCTACGGTGGGAAAAGTGATTTCGACGCTGGCAGTGATTACACATTCCCAGAATGCAATGTGGTACAGATCAAAGACGGACTACACCCTGGCGTCTGCTGCTGAATGACAACAGCGACTCGTGTTGGACGTGTTCGGTGGGATGGAGATGACGCGTTTCGGTTAGCTCCACGGCTAGCTCACGGCTAAGACTCTGCAGCAGCGGAATGTCTCGTCTTTAGAGGAGGTCCCCGTCTCCAGCTGCCAGATGTTCGGGCCACATGCGAAACTTACATGTATGAGGAAATGAATTAAGCTTTAATACAGGTCCAGGCCTGTAGGCCTGCTGCTGTTTTACCTCTGCAACACCCCCCCCCCCCACCCCTGCTGCCCCCTCCCCCCCAACCTCCAGGCTTACTCCTCGATTTCCAGTATCAGGTCGTCTCCCTCCAGGGAGGCGTCGGCCTCCACGTGGATAGCTTTAACGGTCCCGGACAGCGGGGAGTTGACCACCGTCTCCATCTTCATGGCTGAGAGGACACACAGAGGCTGACCCTTCTCCACCTGTCGGGGAGACCGGGACACTCAGTAACAAACCAACATCTGGTTTGCGTCTGCACGAGCTGCAAGTGTCTGACGAAGCAAGACCGTCTTTGAACACCTTCAGAAGAGGAACGCTTCGGCCTCTAAAGCCGAGGCTTTGAGTTTCTGCTTCAAAGGAAACGTATTTAGCTACTCGTGATCCGTCCGAACGCAGCTTTTGCCGCTCCTGTTGTGTTTTACGGTCTAATGTTACTCACTTCTGATGACGTCGCCGTTGGGTCAACGCCGGCACCCGGGTGTTAAATGAAGGATAGGAAAGAATCAGTTAAGATGTGGGTAAAAGCTGGGTGTGTGTGTGTTCTGAAGGGTTTCTGGTTTAGGCCGGTTATTTCAAAATCACACACTGAACAACCTCAGCTTGGAGAAACAGAAGAGAAGTGAACTGATCAACAAGCTAACGGCTAGTGTGAGCAACAATGTGGATTCCTGTTAGCTTAAAGCTCCTAAAAGGCTGCCGCTCATGCTAACGTGGCTCTGCTGGCGTCACATGACCCTTGGAGGTTGTTAGTGGGGAGCAGCTCTCTGGGCCACACATGAGATTATAAAGGTGTGTGTAAGATGATAGCCAAACCCCATCAGAGAGCTGGGTCGGGTCTTCTAAAGCTTATGAAAACAACGGGTACGGTAAACCGGGGTTTCCAATCAGAACCAGGAAACTGACCTTAGATCCAACTTTGACCTTCACCTCCAGGACTTTTCCGGGCATGGGAGCTCCCACCTGCCCCTTGACGGACTTCTGGGCCTTGGGATGGAACTTCATTTCCTGGAAAAGGGAATAAATGTGCCATTTATCTGTCCAGCCAGTCATCTCCTCATACACGTGTCTCCACGTCTCCTCTCATCCAGGAAACGATGCGCTCAGCAGGATAATTACACGCCCCTCCTGCGGCGCGTCTACGTGCGCTTCGGCAGCAGCAGCTGCTGCTGCGCGTTAAAATTAGTGGACTGTCAAACTGAAGCTATCTGCCTATTAAAAGTTTACCCACAGAGATCTGCCCTCACTCATCCGTCCCCTCTATGAGCCGTAAAGCCCCCCCCCCCCCCCCCCCCCCCCCCCATACCTTCATGGCCACGGTGTCTTTCACCAGCACCGATCTGAGCTGCCCGTTCAGCTCAAAGAAGACTTCTCTCTGACCCGCCTTGTTCAGGTCTCCCAGAGCCAGGGCCTTGATGTGGAGGATCTTCCCTCGTTCCAGCTCCACCTGCAGCCGAGCACGTCCACGGGGGAGGGAAATCCAAACACGGGGGAGGGAAGAACGTTAGAGAATTGGAATCAATACATGGGTGCAATGTCCAGCGGAGCAACGACACAAACACACCGCGGAGCCAGCTGGAATAAGAAGTGAGACCAGCCTCCAGCAGACACACATCTAGTCCTTTTCTCCTGTGTGGAGGCATCCAACCCAACATTTACCGATGCTTCGTATCTGTTGCACTTTTAAACAAGTGCTCTAAAACTTCATCGTTACCTCTGGTTAAAAAAACAACGAGACTTTTTCAGCAAAGCAAAAAAAAAAACATGAATGTTATCAGGAGTGCACTTACGCTGCTGGCACGCCGGAGCTCCGTCTAACAGCCACGAAAATAGCTGACTGTTCTCCAGCATGCTGCTAATGCCGTTACGAGATGAAAGGGGTGTGTGTGTGTGTGTGTGTGTGTGTAATGAGCAGCTTCTTAATGATAAAATGTGTTTAGTTGGAGACATTCAAAGGTTGGCTGCCTGCACCAAAATCATTTACCGGCTGAAGAGCGAGGAGTCGTTGCAGCGAGCGGACTGCAGCGTGTCAGCAGACGCTGATGTCGCACACTTTGTACCCTCTAATGAGAGTTTTCTGTTGCTCTTACACTTTTCAGCTCAAAACACACATTTTATTATCAGACGGGAGGAATTTAGTCCTGCAAGTATGAACCTGTTTAAGGTCAAAGGTCAGACAGTCTGCTTCAGCACGAACCTCGCCTTGATGTCTTGGTCCCGCCCCGGTTGCCTAGGAGATACGTCATCAGAAACCACCAAGGCATGTTCCGACGTTCCCGTGCTACAGAGGTGTCTGTTCTCCGTTTGTTAGCCGTTCAGCTACTGTAGATGACCAAGGACACACGATAGGTGTCATGTTGCCTTCTCTTGGTCCAAAATGTCCCAGAATAGAGCGCGGTACTTTCAAAAAAGATGATTGATCAGGAGCCGGCAGCAGCTACTTCAGGGGCAAACATCCAAGTCAACTAACTGTAGCCGTCAGGCTGACATCTACAAGCTTTTTTAGATCCATCTAGGGTTGGTGAGTTCCTCAGTAGTTTCAGCTTCGGTGGCTAGCAGGTCGGAACTCGCTTGCATGTTTATCTTAACTAACACACAATTAAATAGGTAAAAGGCTCGTTATGCATTTGTATTGAACTTTACCGTACGTCATGTGAGGCAAGACTGTTCTACATAACCGTTTTCTTTCACCAAGGAAGGACAGTGTCCTTGTAAGCAAGGCGCCTAGTAGGGATGCACCGATCAGGTTTTTTGTTGCCGATCACCGATACCGATATCAAAGAATGCTGATCACCGATACCGATCACGTAGATTGGCCAGAAATTTTCTACAACATTATAATAAGTGCTACAAACTACATAATCTGGGAATAAAGGAAATGTAACCTAATCTAAAATGGTCCGTATTAGGGTTGTCATGGTGTGAAAATTTAACCTCACGGTTATTGTGACCAAAATTACCACGGTTTTCGGTATTATCGCGGTATTTTTTTTAAACGTGCTACATTTTCACTCAATTAAATAAACCCTGTATGTCAGGAAATATTGTCCTCAGTTTGTGTCCAAATTTAGCCTAAAATGTGTTATTTTGTAATTATGTTGTTTATTTGTTTACATTTTTCCCCTTTAGTCTTTAAAATACCAATATTTGCCCATAACTTCTTATTTTTTGTCTGTTTGATGTCATAATTTAAAAATATTAGACCAGATGATGCTCAGTACTCAAGTAGCCTTCTAATCAGATACTTTTTTACCCTTACTTGAGTAATAAACCCTATATCAGGAAAATATCGTCCTCGGTTTGTGTCCTTCCAGTGAGCTTTGCAGATGTGGGAAAATGTCATCAGGCAGTAATCGTTGTTAAATTCATAATTATTCTCGGAGAGAGACCAACTCTTATCTGCCCCTGGGAGCCCCGTAATGCATAGCGTCATTTCAACATGGCGGTGTCCGCGACACGGTTTATATGCAGGTAGCGGCGCTGCGGCTGCTTTATATAGCGACTCGTTGCATTCTCCCTCAACCCAAATCCTCGGATCACGCATTTTAGCTAAAACGCTAACGTTAGCTTGCCTTGCGTTGACTGTAGAGTTGTGGGTGATGGTCACGCAGATGTGTCATGAGATTTGAAGCGTTGCTGCCTTTCACAGACACTTTTTCTGCACGTGCTGCAAACAGCATAGCCGTCTTCTATCAACTGTCCCTCGGCATTCTTCAGATATCCAAAAGATGCCCGTACTTCCCACTTTGTTTTCTTTGAGGGATAATAAATGTCCTGAGCGCTGCCGTCTCCTCCTTTGGCCATTATTTCAGCTTTAGCTTCAAGAAAGTTTTGGTTGTAAACAACAAAGTGCGCATGTGCCGCCGGCAACTTCAGCAGATGATACGGTGGCTGGTAAGGGTCACCGCGCCTACACCGCAGCCACGGTAATCCACCGAGATGATATAGTTTTTTAAAAAAACAAGACGGTTATTATTATTGTCAACTTTTTTTTTTTTTTTACCGGGGTTTACCGCTACACTGGTTACCGTGACAACCCTACCTGATCGGTCTGCTTTGATCTATTTTGAAAATTCCGATCAAAACCGATAGGGGCGCTATCGGCCGACTACGATCAAATGCCGATCCATCGGTGCATCCCTAGCGCCTAGCCTACCAAGGCAGTGCCACGTAGAGTAGCCTGCATACAGTCCGCTGGAGTCTCCGCTGAAGAAGAAGAGCTATGCACATCGACATCACATACGTAGATGCCTCGTGGACTAGGGCTGCCCACTGGAGCGGTTGCAGCAGCGGGCTGCCATCTTGGATGGGTCCCCATTCGCCCCCAGTGCATTTATTTCTACCGGCGTTCACCCAACAAACAAATACATTTCAACGACCCGTCTATGTATTCATGTCTATGGCTGTGCAGGCTTGAGGAGATTGATGTTAGGATTCAGAGCATGAGAACAGAATGAAAACACCAGCTGTGACGGTTCAGGTTCGTGCATCTTAGTTAAAAGGTGTTCACGGGGAGAATCCACACAAACTGGGACGGCAGATAAGCTGATGCTCTCTGGATAACCAAAGAGTGAAAAGAGTAAAGTAGATGTACATGAATACATTACTTATTTCATTTAATAGCTACAGTAGTTACAATTACAGGTCATTTCTCTAAAATGTGTAACGTGATGAAGGGGCTATTCCACCCTCTCTCCTCAGATGTCTCCGACACAGAACTAATCTGCATGAGACTTCCTCAAGGTCATGCATTTGCTTCTAAACTGCTCCCTTTCCAGCTCAAGAGGAGAAAGAAGACGAACTCTTTCTATTTTTAATTAAGTTAATCAAACAGTGTTAATTCAATAATAAGATGTGAACCAATCTGTGAAACGACAATGTTATGATTAGTAAGTTTTAATAAGTAATATGACTTTAATCTAGCTGCTCTAGACTTCCTGATCCACGTAATGCTTAAAGCCACGTGACACATTTTATCTTTCTCATCCAATCAGAACCTTCCTTTCTGAAGCGTGGCATCGTCTCTGTGGTGTTTATAAATCTGTCAAACTTTGATTCGACCGTAAATCAAAACATCCAGATTAATAAAACCAGTCTCCACGCCATCTTGGTTCAGTTCACCGCATTCTAATGGGCCATTCCCATCTGTACCGGGTCGGCCTGGACCGGGTAGCACCAGTCGGCCCCAGCCTGGCCCGGTTGATTCCACACATCCTTGTCTTAAGCCCATGTGGGCTGATTCTACCCACCAATCAGAGGCTTGCTCTAATGGAAGGTGTGAGTTTGCTGTCAGCAGTGGGTGTGTTGGCCCTGGTCGGCCTGAAGCAGACCCCCTCGAGAAGAGGGCTGAGAATGAGCCTTGGTTGGCCCGGAAAAATACCAGGCCACCCAGATGTATGTAAACAACCTACGCTACCCGACCCGGTACAGATGGGAATGGCCCATAATAAGAGAAGTATCGGACCGGCCACCCAGACTTCCTTTTTAAGCAAAGAACCAACAAGCTGGATAAAATCTGTTGCACTTTACCAACCAAGCAACGGTTCCTTTCAGAATAAAAGCTGAACTCACTGACCCTCTGGGTCCATCTGACGCTGTCACCCAACTGTCGCTTTTACCTGGAGACAATCCAAAGACTAGTAGACTAGTCGTACTGCTGACGCTGTTTCATCAGCTCCTGTACCGAAAGGGGGGTCCGAGGACCTGGCAGTCTGGATCTGTACGGAGGTCTCATCCTGAAGGGTATGTGTGGAGCGACAAGATGGCGTCTCATGTGTGTATGAAACTCCGATCACAGCTTAAGAGCAAAACATCATTCAGACTTGCTTCTCCGGATACGAGAGTTCTGATGATGACAACACACACACACACACACACACACACACACACACACACACACACACACCACCCACACACACACACACACACACACACACCATCCATCTCACGTCTCATTCACACCAAGATCCATTCATCACTTAGAGTTTAGAGTTAGTCTTGTTTAAAATTGTTTAGAACTAAATCTTCTTCAACGTTTTAAAGCTGACTCTCTCTCCTCTTGTCTCTCAGTTAATCCGACGTTGTTACATAATCCCTGCAATAAAAAGTTCCGATCTTCTGGTTAAAATTACCCAAAGATCCATAAGATTGATTTAATATTTCCTATGAAATCTCACATCTTATGGTTCATTAAATAGATGTAAATTAAATCATCACAAATGTAGTGGAGTAAAAGCAAATAGTGGGACTTAAACTGCCTAAGTAAATACAGAAAATGCTTCCTTAGTTACATTAAAGTACTTGTACTGCATTACCTTCCATCAGGTCTGGGTGTGGCTGGTGGAGGTTAGCATCGAGGCTAGCTCATTAAACAAGAGGGACAGTTACTATGTTAGCCTGCAGGTCCCACGCAGAGCTGTGGTAGAAGGACCGGCTGTTACTGATGTT